ACTGATCTGAAGACAGTGAGCTGAGGTTAGACAGACTAATATCATCTGATATTCTGACGTTGGAGCAAGCCCGTGGGGGAAACAACACCGTGGCTTGTCACCCCGGATGATACCGACACTGGGGATGCTGTTCCCTGAGGCTCCATGGAAGCGAGGCTGGCAAAGCTTTGTCTCACACACTCTGGGCATATTGCTAGGAGAGGCTGTCCCTTGGAGAAGGACATCATGCTTGGGAAGGTGAGGGGACAGTAAAGGAGAAGACGACTCTCAGTCAGGTGAATCCACATAGTGACTGCACCAGTGGGTTCAGGTATGTCAGACTGTGAGGCTGGCACAGGACAGGACAGGATTCAGATCTGTAGGTCGTAGGGCTGCTATGAATCACGTTCAATTTGATGACACCTAATAACAGGTGATGTTCGTGGGCTGAAATGATAAGCTAACTTGACCAAGGTCATGGAAGCTCAGTAGCTTGACCCCATCAATCCATTGATACAGTCATTCATTCAGCACATCACCTTTGAACATTTTCCCTGGACCAGACACTACGTTAAATGTTGCTGATACAAATATTGATAAAAAAAATCATTCCTGCTCTTAAGACACCCATAGTTTGGTAGAGAGAGTTCTCCGACACTATGAGTCTAAAGGTTTTATTACACCAGATTATGAAGTTGTGTGTACCGTAGAGTGGGAACTGACCCATAGCTGACCCTCTGGCGGGCTTTCAAAGACAGTTAATCACACAGGAGGTGATTGCCCATTGTTCTCAGCTGTGGAGCAGTTGGTAGATTCAAATCAGTGCTTTCAGGATTGCAAAACAATCTTCCTGCCACTAGGCCATCAGAGCTTCTGGTTAAGTATTAGAAACATATATGTATACCAAATTGCTTACATTTCATATGAATGACCATAAGAATCAATGCTTTCGAATTGTGGTGTTGGAGAAGAGTCTTGAACATACCATGGACTGCCAAGAAAACAAATCGGTCTGTCTTGGAGAGGGTAAAACTAAGCTTCTCCTTGGAGGCTAAGATTTTGAAGCTCTGCCTCACTTTGGGTATGTGGCCAGGAGAGATCAGTCCTTGGAGAAGGACATCATGCTTGGAAGGGTGGCAGACAGTGCAGGAGAGGAAGACCCGGGATGAGATGGATTGATACTGTAACTGGGGGGATAGGGGTTGGTGTGTTGGAATTAGTGAGACTAGTTCAGGACAGGGAAGGGTTCAGAGTTGCTATGCATAGGATCACTATGGATTGCAGGCGACTCAACGGCACATAACAACAATAACAATATTTATATTAAGTGGGGAAAATAGGTTGAATGGTGCTGAGGCTAGGGATTGTGTGGTAACTTCAGGCCTGTTTTAGCACTAATGGTCTCCTGTAAAGAACTCACTCCTTGAGCAAAACTCCTAAGTTTAGAAAGGATAACTTCAAAGTGAAATATGGCCCTGAGCACTCTTTTGCAGAGAGTATCCTTGCATACATGGCTGAGGAGACCATGAGATTCTTGAGCAGTTGGTCATGGGCAAGGCTTCCGATTTCTCTTTCTGTAAGGAGATTGCTTCGGGGAAACTAGTTACACCCACAGCGTGCCTTTAGAATTTTGTCAGCTTGGAAATACGCACCCTCCCTGCATGGTCCCTAGAGCAATAACCCTGGCTGAGTAACAGAAGAGGCAGTGCTGTGTTTCCAACCTCCCTCCTGACGCCACGAGGAACCACCTTTTTCTTAGGATTGAAGTTTCTGTTTTACAATGTCCTCACTCTTCTAGCTGTCCTATAAGTCTCTATAAATTGGAAACCATCCAGTGTTAGTGGGGTTTGCATGATTGGATTGGAGCGAAGGTGAAGACGTTGTTTTCCTAAAGGTTCATCAGGTTTGGGAGGGTCCACGTTTAGTGCTTCTAAAAGTCTGGTATAGAGACTTTTGGCCTAGTGGGTAGAAAGTTCCGCTACCAAGCCAAAGTGAGTGTTTTCAATCTGCAGCCCTCAGGCCTGGTTTAAATTGTTATTGGTCAAACCTTCTTCTAAGTGGCATAGCACTGGTTTGTCCATTTGCTGTACAGAGATAACTTGTGGTTGCTGTGATGCTAAACACTGTGACACTGATGAGTAATGGTTACCCATGGTGGAGAGTGTTTGGTGGAGCTTCCCATTTAAAACAAACTTGGAAGCAGCAGTGGCATCCACTTCCGAAATGGCTTGCCTCCGGAAACTCTATGAACGTGGAGAAACGATGAAAGTTATACATGTGTTCAGGTCTTTTGTTCATAGGGTTGCTCTGAGTCCTCTAGGACTTGATGGCACTTAAAACAACACCACAGAAGTCTGGGAAAGAGTTCTGGTGCCACAGACCACAGGATGATGTGCTGCAAATCAAAGGCTGTGCCTTCAGCAGTTCAAACCCGCCAGCTGTTCCTTAGAAGAAAGATGAGCAGATTTGTTAGGATTTACAGCCTGGGAAATGGAGGGAGACAGGGTTATTAAAAGAGCCAACTGGATGGCAAGGAGGGCCAGGTGTGTTAAAAATCTGGTGGCGGCTGCCATCTGCTGGTCAATTTAAGTATTTTATTCGGATGCCTTTTTTTTTTTTTTTTTTTAAATTGAATACTTTTAACAAAGCGTCTTTCAATTTTAGGAAAAGAACCTGTTTTGATGGCTTCCCTCCTTTTCCCTGACTAGGAACTGTTCGTTATCTCCTTTAAATCATCGCAATTGTTGTCTGAAGAAGTAGTCTTTATTATTATTTTAAGGGAGATTCAGAAAAATTCAACGGTTACACCTAAATCACTTGGTAATTGGGAACCTGGGATTCAAGCTACCAGAATGGTTGTTTCAATGAAGTTGTTTAGCACACACCGAATTTGCAAACTGCAAAGTGTCATCAGGGAACCACAAAGTGGGCTGAGTGGGGGAGTGGGGGAAAGAAGGTGTCTATAGGTGCACGTTCCTCCAGGCACTGCAGCTTGACGCCATAAAGCCTGGTTTATGGGGTCAGACAGACCAGAATAACTGCAAACAGAGCACAGGTGAATCCAGGCAAGTCATTTCACTGCTCTGAGACATAGTTCCTTAACCCGTAATGGTGCTGGGCCACTGTGGAAGCTATTTATTGTTGGCTATTTTTTTGTATATAAAAATTCTCTTTCCATTCCTGACTGGGACTGCCAAAGACTATATTTTTAAAAAGAGCCTTAATCGGCATTTACATTCATGTGTGAGGCTCCCTAGAGAAGGAGAATGAGGGGAATGCGCCCTCTGCTGGCTATTCAGATTTTACACCCGCTCAAATCCTAGCAGGTGAAGAGTCCTGGCTTCCAACACCCAATGAGGCCAGAGATTTGAAGGAGATGAGGTTAATTTCTTCTAGTGTCAGAGTTCTAAAGTTCTAAAGATTTTAAAAGCCTTCATAGAAAGATCTCCCTACCATGTGCCCCCTTCTCTCCCACTGTCTTTGAATCAGGACCAACCCATGCACAAGAGGAGTTTGTCCATTTTTCTCCCTCAAAGCCACAGGTGGATTTGAACTACCAGAGAAGTGTACCTTTAGGTTAGCAGCAAAACTCCTGGCGGGTCAGAACTCTCCACCTTTAGCTCTCTACACCCCAGGCATAGAGCTCAGTATACCACCAAGCCTAATCTTTAGCCCACCAGGTACCTGGAGAGAATCTGTCCTCATTCTTCCACCTATCAGGTCTCTACTGAGAGCATCGAAACTTTCTGAAGGTCGTGATTAAGGACCGCTATTTAATGTAGCTTTTTACCAATCAGAATCCGATTCTCCTGTGGCTTTGGAGTCTACCTTAACTGGAGAAGGTATAGGATTTGGCCTGAGAGAATCTGAAGTCAGCAGCCAGTGGGGGATTAAGCTTCCCACTTGAGGCTTGGTTGTTACCAGGAGTCAGTTTGTTTGAGTTGATGGAGCAAGGAGAGTGTTGCTATGGCTGTACTGCAGCCAGCCAGCCTTATGATCTAAAGCAGCGAATAGAAAATATAATATCTTTTAAAGCAAGACACAAAGGTTTCAGCTGGAGCCAGAAAATCCTCTGATCCTTACTCACTTCTGAGCCATCACAGTCCATCGTAATGAAGTCTGTTAGCCCGAGCGTTTTCATTCAAAACACACATTTTGCTAGAGTTCCCTCAGAGTATATGAATGAGGGCTTGCATCTCCCTCACTCTTTGAAGAGCAATGTTGAGAAACTCGTGGCTCTGATTCACTGTACTTGTTGAGGCCAAACAGACTTGTGGTGCCACTGGCCTTCTCACTGTGTGTGTTCAGGTCCAGCCTGGGGAACCGTGGGCTCCTTTCTTCCCAGGGGGCTTGGGGTAGGGGAGAAGGAGATATTCCTAACATGATTTCTCATTCTAACGTTACAGAATTGTAGGAAGGCAAAAGACAAACTTGAACAGATGTCACAGTGCCATCCTATAAACTGAAAACTGTTGCCACAGACCTGTTGCCCATGAGAGAACTGAGGCACAGAGAAGTTAAAAAAAAAATGTAGGAGTAGTAGAGCCAGAACTTGAACTCAGGTGGTGTATCAGTGGGGATTTGAATCTTTGTGTGATAATCCTGGCTAAGAAGTAACAATAAAAAAATGAGCATAAGCATCTTTTAATCTATAAGTTAGTAGTTGTACAATTATAGAACAAGAAGCTGAATCATCTTCAGTTGCAAGCTTTGTCCAATCTTGTTCAACTAGTGCTTTTCTACCCCTACCCTTGAATCTGGGAGCTCTGATGGCCTACTTTCACTGTCAATCCAAAGGTAAAGAGTTTGAATCCATCAGCTCCATTGCTCCATTGAAGTTGGGCAACCTCCCCCCACGCCATTCACAGCCTCTGAAAACCCACTGGAGGGTCAACTATGAGTTGGTTCCAGTTTGAAGGCACCAAACAGCATCCCCCTCTAATCGAGCCTCTCTTCCTATTCCTTCTGACCCCCATCTCTTTCCTCACAACTCAGTGATACAGGGCTAAATAACAGTCAAGCTTAAAAGTACTTGTGCTTTTATTAAAAAAAAAAATACAATCAGGTTGTCCAGCTGTGTTTTGGAAAGGGGAGTTCTTTTAAAAATCCTTAGCTTTCTTCATCATCATTATTATTATATTAATAATATTAATTATGTCCTTAGAATTGGAACAGTATTGCTTTTCTGGATTCTGTTGTACAAAATGTAAAAAAAGGGATGTCTTCCAATGACAGGCATTTAAAACATTGCTAACAAAAATAATCATTAATTATACAACTTTGTGTCAGATACAGCTGGTACTAAAACAAACTACCAATGTACAGCTTCCCCCTCTCCTGTTCCCAGAGCCACCCAAGAGAAGTCAAAATCATTGTGATGCTGTCACTGGAAGAGTTTTGCTGAATCAAAACAGAAACCCATTGAGACGGTTGTCTTTGGTGCGAAGGAAGTAATCACCGTGTGGTCGAGGCGTCTGCTGTTACCGTGGGCCTCAGCGGTCCATGGTGAACTCGGACTCTTGACAAGTGCCCAGGTGTGGCCTGATGGTTGGACTGGTTGTATTGACGCTTTGGTAAAATTCTTTCCTTTCTCTGGGCCCGACATTTCCCTTACCCAGTCGTCCTTGGAATTTATGCCCTCTCGCGCCTGCCTTCAAGATTTCGGAAGTTGCTGGGTCTTAGCTTCATCTCGGCAAACTGGATTGAGTATTCATGACCTTTCCAGTGGAACCAGTTAACACCCTGCAGACAAAGAGAGCAGCCCTCAAGATTAGTTTAAGTTTGGCAAGGCAAGCACCGACCATGGCTAGTCAGTCAGGCAGATACAATGAGCTCTGTTTCAACTGGACCATTTGGTGTTTAATGCCTCTCTCCCTTCTGTCAGTCAATGTCATGAAAAATTTCCAAAGGGCTGCCGGAGTCAGAACTAATTCTTCACTTTAGACCGAAGTCACCTGAATTCCCACTGAACTTTGGTCTGCCATCTTGAAACAAAATGTTGGCTGATGAACGTCACTGTCATTAGAAATTGGTTTGAGGGAATTTTGTAAATAATTGGTGGTTACAGGACTGAGTGGCTATTGATAGTGACATATAGAATTCCTAATATTCCTATGGAATATTTACAGAAGGTGATTTTAAATAGCAGAAAGAATACTAGTGGAACACAAGTTTTAGACTTGAATATAGGGCTATTTGAGAGTGAAATAATCTTGAGTAAGTTATGAAAGCTTTCTGAGCTGTGGGTCCACTAGCCACCTATTGCTTAGTTTGAAAGGAACCCATAAAGAACAAATGACAACACTGGGCATGTTATAGGTCCTTGGTTAATATTATTTCCTTAACCTCAAACAGGGAGAAATATCTTTGGAATTTGGGTGTAAATATTTTGTATCCAAAACTATCAGTGTCCAGGCCTTTTGGTTATATGTTTCACTCTTTAAAAGCCAAAAAAACTAAATTTTTTACCATTAGGTTCATTTTTGTTTAAAAATTAATTTTTTTTTTTAAGCCTACAGCACCCGGTATTCCCAGGTGGTCTCCCATCCAAGTACTAACCAGGCCCGACCCTGCTTAGCTTCCGAGATCAGATGAGATCGGGCGCGTTCAGGGTGGTATGGCCGTAGACTAAAAAAAAAAAATTAATTTTAATGAAAGTTTACAGAGACTTAGGGTTTCCTGTCTTTCATTGTTGCACTTTTCTCCATGCCCACCCCTCCCCCCAATTCACTCTTCTCCTTGAAAAGAAAAAGAAAAACTCTCTCATTGTTATGCAATCCCTCTCCCCAAGTCCACCCCACTATTCAGCCTTCACTCTGGACTTCTGTAATGACAAGAATACCCATTCATAAATCCTTTTTAAACACTTCTCTCCCTCATCTGTTTCAATGTAATATACACCATTCTTCCCCTCCTTTTCTGTCTTCCTTCAACCCTGATGTCAGTCTCGTTTTACAACAGTGGCCCTATGCAATATTTGTCCTTTTATGAATGAGATATTTCACTCAACACAGGGTGACCTCACATGCTATGGCGTAGAACTAGGTTTGACAAGGGTTTTAGCAGATGATTACTTCAGAAGTTGATCATCAGGCCTTTTCCTGAAGTGCCTCTTGGTGAGTTCAAACTGTTGTCATATGTTTAACATTTTACACTGCCCACAGGCTCCTGTCTGAACCTTTAGAGAGGAGTCCAAAGATGTGCCATTGAGTTAGACCTCATAGCTGGCCTTCTGAAGTGACTTTTCAGAGGCTGTAGATTACATGGGAGGAGAATGTCCATTGTTTCTCTCTCAGAGCTGCTGTGGATTCGAGTCATTTCCCTTTGAGCTGGAAGTATACTATATCACTGGGCCACCAGAGCTCCCTGAAGATGTTAGGGGGGCTGCTGTAAACAGTGCATGCACTCCACTGCTAACTGGAAGATTGGAGGTTTAACCTGTACAGGAGTTCCTCAGAAGAAAGCTCTTGTCACCTTCTGAAAGAATCAGTCATTGAAACCTATTTGACGTTCTACTCCATGAAACATGTGGAAACCATGAGTCAGGATCTGTTCCATGGTCACTAATTTTTAGCTTAAAACCAAAGATGAGTAGAGTCTGGCCATCAAGTCCAAATGACCCCTGGTTCCCCTGGGGAAAAGGGACACTCAGGTGTCTCAACTTCAACCTCAGTCACCCCTCTTGAAAGGCCACCACCCCATGCTCTGAGCCTCTTGTTCTCTTTACGCTGCATAGAGCTGAGAAGAAAAAAATTACTCATGGAGAAGTTAATGACTGGTGAAACTGGGGGCAGGGGGGTGGGGAGGATAGAGATTGTTTTATTAGACTTTAATTATTTGGAATTCACTGACCTCAGACTCTGTCTCTAAGCCTGACAGGGTTTAAGAATGGCTGGTTCATTTAATGGGCAAATGTGTTTGTAATTACTTCCTTACAGTGAGGGACTCCAGCTGAACAGCTTGTTGCTTCTCTGCCTTTCCCCCTCTGTTCTCTTCCTTCCCTCTGGCAGTGCAGAGCTGGAAGCAAACCCTCATTGTATTCATGCAAGCCCCTGAGAGGCCAGGCCAGGCTCTCAAGACTTCTTTGGGGTCTTCTTCTCCCAGGTTGAGATGAGAGAAGGAAAATGAGGTTTCCTTGCTATGTTTTTCTCTCAAAAAAACTGTGGCAGGGATGTTGGAAACTGGGATCAGCCAAAAGTCACCAAGCAATCACTCATGTCTGCACAATGAAACCCTGACAAAACTTTGCACCACACCAAACTCTGGGTCAGTCTCCCGAGGTGACCACACTCCAAGCATATCGTCACGTCACTGCTGGGAGAGCAGTGCATTCTGGGCACAGAGGAAGCTTCCTGTTTGGAACCCTCCCTGGCTCTAGTCTTGGTTTTTTTTTTGTTTTGTTTTCTTTTTTTAAATGCAACATACATATTTTTTACAGCATATTCTTTCCATTTAATTCTCCCCACTCCCATTCAATGTTGCACATTCTATGCACCTCTTCCTTGGCAGGTTCTCATTTGTGTCCCTTCAATGTAATAAACTGTAATTATGAAGATAGTAGTGTTCAGGGAGTTCTGTGAGTCTCTCTAGGCAATTCTTGAAGCTGATGGTGGTTTGGGGAACCTCTGAGCTCACACTTGGTGTCAGAAGGGAGAACAGTCTTGTAGGGCTGGTACTTTCTTGGTACTTTACTTTCAAGTGCTCTGTGACCTCAAATTCTCATTGCTCTGTGCCTCAGCCTTTTCAACATTGCTATTTTGATATGACTCATATGCACAATGCAGTGGGGTTAATTATGTTATCAAGTCCAACCATTGGCATTATCTGCTTCCAGATTTTCCCCATTACCCTTAAAAAGGCGATCAGTGGCCTGTAAGGAAGGAGTTCCTCTTTGGGCCTCCATCTGTTTCTCGAAATGAAGGGATGGAAAAGCCATGGCTTCATCCAGGGCTTCTTGGTGTTCCAGAGGTGCCTCCAGACCAGGTGAGACTTTGCCAGGGACAAAAGGCAGGACTTTGGGATGGTCTCATGACTTCCTCACATCTCCTACAGGCTTCTATTCTTTTCTGTCTCATATTTGAGCAGTCAGATAATAGAAACTCAGTACCCAGAGAGGAAACAGAAGAATGCTGCTAAATTGAGGGGATTGAAACTAATATGATGAAATAAAAACAAAAGGCATACAAATTATTGAATGGGAAACTTATGGCCTCTGTAAACTTCTACTCCACATATAATAAAACATTTTTAAAGAGAACGTTCTTTAGAATGTAAGCTTTCTCAGAGTCATCACTGGTCCTTCTGTTTCTGGGATTTCACCTCCCCAGCGGCATCACTGAGATTTCTCCTTGGGTTGCCGTGGCCCCTGAGGGTGCTGCCTGCCACACTCAGGCAGGGTGGAGGGTCAGACCTGGCTTCCCATCAGCCCACCTACCTGACTGTGGTTGTTGTCCCCGTATCTGCCCATCAGGTTGACGCGGTGACAATTCTTATACCAGAAGGCCCCCTTGTAGGAAAGGGCACAGTTGGTGATTGCCGAGTCTGTATCTTTGTCAAAGGTGGAGAAGGATCTGCCGTTGTGGTAGGCCATGGAGTCCCCTGGAAGTAAGGGAAAGTATGACTCAGAGGAATCTTAGATAAAGGGTCATTCCAGGACATGGAGGGCAAAGGCAGAGGTACCAATGGAGAGGCCATGGGTGGAGCTGGCTGTGAATATTGATTGGGTGAAACATTCCACGGGGTAGGCGAAGAGGGCTAATTTCTGACAGAAGTAGAATAATGTGGTGGAAAGAGGCTCAGAGGTGACTTTGGAGGACTTGGGTTCAAGTTTCATAGCTTTCACTCCCTAGCTCTAAACTTGTATAGTCTTTTAATTGAATCTCAGTTTTCTCATCTTGAGAATGAGACTAACACATTGGTTTTATTTAGCAGTGAAGATAGCTGTGGTGAAAATGGATATGAAGGTGTACTTTAAATGTTGTACCATTGAGTTGGAACTGGCCCATAGCTGACCCTCAGGTGGGTTTTCCAAGGCAGTAAATTGCTCAGGAGGAGATTGACCATCCTTCTCCCATGGAGCAACTGGTGGGATTCGAACAGCTTGGCTTTGACAGTGAAGCACAGCTTCTTGTCGCTAGGCCACGAGAGCTCCCTATTATAGATGTGTTTATAGAATAGAGTGTATATTTATAGTATAGAGTTGTAGATAAAAGTCGATTCTTAGGGGGGAATTAATAATGGGGTTTTACAATTTGATGGGTGGGGGTGAGGGAAATTGGAAAAATATGGTTTGAAAAAGAAAGTACTCAAATTTTGTAAATAAACTAGTACAATAAAAAATAACTTGATTGTTAGAGCTGCTTGTTTTTCACTTGTTCTCTATATTCTCATGATATAAGATTAATTTTTCATTATCATGTATTTCAAGGAAATTTATTTCATTCTTTATTTCTTTTATAACCCAATCATGTTCTAGTGATACAAGATTAATTTTTATGTAATTTATTTACATAAAATTAATTTTTATATAATTTATTCACATAAAGAAACTCAGAGTAAGGTAGGAAATTGCACTTAAATAATGATATACTTTTCCTCAGAATACAAATATTTATAGCTCTAACCCTAAAAAACTCTTCAGATATTAGATGCTATCCAAAATACTTTATATATCATAGTTGTTTTAAAAGCTTTTAAAAAGTCTTATCTGACTAATGTTCTCTTCTTAGACAAGAAGTCCATTTATATATGTTACTCTCTGGGAATCTAATTTGTAGTTTTAAATGATTACATTTGAGGAATATTTAAATGTCATTTCCTTGTGTGTCCTGCCCCCCTGGCCCCTAACTTGGTATATGCTACAAAAAGGTTTAAAGATGCTGAGGAATTCTGGCCTGATATGTTGGTGGCCGTATTCAAAAGGACTCCGATAGCTTTGAAACCATGATGCTACTGAGTTTGCAAAGGCAGGTGAATATTCATGAAATCAGACCTTGGAGGACTTTGTATTTAGACTACAATCAAAGTATGCAAAAAAAAAAAATGTAGTTTTAGAAGACTTCTATCTTAGCAAATGGGAAAAATCATGGCTTATTCTTGCCCTGGAAACACAAGAAGAGAGGAGCAGAGGCCACATTCCTGGGGTCTGCCAAGCTTGCTTGCTTTGCAACAACATCCTTCTTGCCTGAAGCTACCTCAATTAAAGAGGTATTTACTACCAGGTGTTATGGATTGAATTATGTGTCCCAAAAGGCAATTACACCCTAACTTCTCTGCCTGTGGGTATAATTCCATTTGGGAATGGGCTGTCTTTGTAGGTTAAGGAGGCAGGATTAGTGTAGGATGTACCTTGAGCCAATCTTTTTTAAGTGTAAAAAAAAAAAAAGTTAAACAAGTCAGCAGTGGAGAGAAGAAAAGATATATGCCAAGCCACATGAAGATTGCCCAGAAACAGAAGCTCAAAACACCTGACAGAGAATATAAGTGTGCTGACAGTGAATGTAAGTGTGTCCTTTGAACTGGCACCCTGAAGTCAGACTTCCAGCCTCCTAAACTTTGGGAAGATAATTTCTATTTGTTAAAACCACCCATTTATGGCACTTCTGTTACAGCAGCGCTATAGATAACTAAGACACCAGGCAATGGAGTGCCAGCACTGGTGGAAGGATGCAAGAACAAGAACAACCGTAGCCTTGGGGCATCCCTGCTGACTTCCCTGCACATTGCCTTCTCAGAGGAGCCTTGTTCCGCCCGACTGAGCCTGGCTCGAGGCACATTTCTATCTGCAGACTTTTCCCTTTATGGAGTTTTCTTTGAGAGCTCAGAGAAGGTGGAAAGGTGCCACAGTATCTGTCTCTTCTGTTTTGACAGACTAAAACTCACTCCCAAGTGGGGATGGATTTCCTGTCTGTACTCTCCAGACTAGTCCCTCTTTTCCCCCAGAACACCTGTGTGCAGTTCTTTGCACCCAGGTTTGCATCCTGGGTCTATCTTCTAGAAATGGTTTCACCACTCAAAGCCATAGGACTTCTGGATCCTCAATTTCCTTGTTTATATAATAACAATATATTCCTGGAAGGATTTTTTTTTTAATTAACAACAATTCAAATCATTCGCATGGAGTCAGTGCTACTAACGGTGACCCCATGTATTTCACAGTAGAATTGCACTCCACAGATTTCCAAGCTTGTGAGTTTTCAGAAAGGGAATCAGCACTTAACTTCCAGGCTGTCTCTAGGGGTGGGGGTGGGGGGGATTTTAAATCCCAGTGTTTTTGTTAATAGCTGAGCACTTTTAACTGTTTGTGGCAAACAGTGGCTCCTTATCAGAATTAAATGACAAAATGTATATTAAACAGCTACAAAAGACAAGACTACCTGGTAAGCATATGTTTTCTTATTAATTTTTCAAATGTGGAGCAAAAACTTAATGAAAGACCATTTCTAGTTAAAGGAATCTTCCAAGCCTGGCCTCAGTTATGTACTAGAGAAGGAATGTAAGGGCTCCTAGGAAGGTGGTGAAGGTAGGGAGGCTGAGGCTGATAACAACTTGGCTGAGATGTCTTTAAGATGCATCATTTGCCACTGAGGATGCAGATCCTGTACAGCAGCACCAGCAATCCTGGCATTACTGGGGACTGGCTGGAAATGCAGCATCTTTGCCCCACCCAGACTTCCTGCATCAGCTCTTGTACTTTAACAGGATCTCTGCAGTCATAAACCACTGCCATGAAGTCAGTTCTGATTCACCGTAGTTCTGACTCCCCTTCAGGATGGAGCAGACCTGCCCTCCAGGGTTTTTAAAACTCTGAGTCTTTATAGAAGCAGACTGGTGGTACATCTATCTTTCTCCAGCAGGGCAGCTGGTGAATCTGAACACCTGAACTTTTAGATTAACAACTGAGGGCTTAACCTCTATACCAGTGTTCCTTTGCTAACTCCTTTGCTATTACACACAATATTTTGAGAAGCACTGGGAAAGATGCACATTTGGACTTCTGAGAGGCTGTTTTTCTATTGGTGACATTGAAAAATAATTAAGAAAATGATGTGGGGTTTTTTTAGTGACTACAGTTACAGCGCAATCAAGATTGTCCTGATTTCTGCCCTCGTCTTTGTTTCTGTGATCAAAATATCCACCAACTCTGTTCAATTACAGTCCTTCCAGATTAGCATCTGTGAGATTTTTGTCTTAGTCGCTGATGCTGTAACAGAAATACCACACATTGACGACCTTGTTGTTATGTGCCATCGAGTCGTTTCTGACTCATAGCGACCCTGTGCACAACAGCTCTAAACCATGCTCTATCCTGCGCCAACCGCACCGCATCTGACACACCCATCCC